GATGCAGCCCCGGGGGAAGGCGTCCCTGTCGAAGAGGTGCCTGTTGCTGGAGGTGTTGAGGAGCCGGAGGGTGCTGCCCACCACTGGAATGGAGCAGGATGCGGCCGGTCAGTGGGAAAAAGGTGTGCATCCACTCAGGTGAGCGTGTGCACACTTAAGCGTGCAACAGCATGCACAGAGAAGCTTGCACAAAGCACACCCAGGAGCAGCACACAAGAAAGCTCACACCATCCTCATGCGGGAGAGGGGTCTGCAGGCGGGATGGGCGACGGCAGCACAACAACCCTCTCTTTTTTTCCCCCACCCCCCCCCGTGCCCGCAGCCAGCTCCAAACAGCAGCCACCCGAGGCTGTGCGAGGCACGGGGACGCGTCCCGACATCTCCAGCCCCAGCCCTGAGGATGCTGCTGCCCACACTGGCTGTGTCCCCTCCTGACAATGTCTCCTTGCAACTGCCACCGATTTGCTCCCCTGCACCGTCCCCAGCACTTCCCAGCCCAGGGATCGAAGCCGGCGGCTGCCGGGGAGAGCAGAGAGTGGGTTTGGGGTAGGAAGGGAAACAATCTCCATCCACAACAATGGAGCGGGTTGTCCGAGCTCCTCCGGCCCCAGTTAATAATCATGCACACACTGGAGCTTTTATTCAGGGAAAATGTCACAAGATGCAACAAGTGGCATTTGCAAAGCCGTTCCTTCTGCCCTGCACCCCGGGAGGCAGAGTGGGGAGCGATCAAGGTCCCCGGCTCCTCTGCAGGGTTCCTCTGCCTGCCCCATGCCTTCAGTCCCTTCTGCTGGGCTCGCCCCACACCCTCCCGGCGCCCCCGGCCCATCTGCTGCCATCCCCAGCCAGCGGGTCCCATACCTGCGTGGGACAAGCCTTGCCAGCCGTAGGGGACGTGTCTCGTCTTCAGCCTGTCCCAGGTCTCTGGGGTGAAGTGCTGGTCCCACATCAGCACGGGGGTGTCGAAGCGGAAGATCTCCCCAAACTTGGGGTCTGCCTTTGCTCTGGCCATCACCGAGCGGAGGCAGGTGCTGGGCTGGGGGGGAGGAAGACCTCGGTTCAGTCTCCAGCCTGGGTCCACCTTCCCCCCAACATCACCCCTCGGCAGGCACCGAGGACAGGACAAACCCAGGGACAGACACGCTCCTTGTCCATCACGTGTTCTGCTGGGTCACACGGGCAGGGCACTGCCTCATGCCTCAGTTTCCCCAGCTGCAAAACACCCTTTCGTGCCCAGCTCTTACACACATACACAAAAAAAAACCCCCAACAAACCCTTCCAGATGATGCTTCTCCTCCTCAGATTCCCCACATAGACCTTGAACCGACAAAATCCAGCAAGGAGGGGCACCGGGGGCACTAACCGTACTGTGCTAACGATTACCTGCTTTCTGCTGGGCTCGGGCTCCTCCAGCTCTGCAGAAGGCTTGAAGGACTTCCCGCTGTAAAAGGAACAAACACACAGCAGAGTTCAAGATCCACCCCTTGGGCAGAGGGCTACCAGCTCGTGCCGGGACCACCGCACGCCCCTTCCCCCTTACCTCTCTAAGCTGCCTTCAGGGGTCCATCTGCGGCTGCCGGCTTGGCGCGATGTCCCCGGCAGAGCCAGGACCAGTGGCTCTGGCTGCAGCAGGCTGGGAGAAGAAGCCAGCGGGGAGGGGGTCAGCCAGGGAGGTGACACAGAGTGACTGCACCCTGACACCCCCCCCCACCCCTGAGAGCCACAGGGCAGGACCAAGTCACCTCACTCAGCACACCTCGACTGCTGCCTGCGCCCACCCAACTCCATCCGTGTGTTTCTGCAAGCAGAGCGCCGCAGATCTGCAAAACACTGGGTTTATGCAGAAAGCAGCCGCC